TAAAAAGGCAAAGAAATAAAGAAGCTAATTAAAAGAGTTATATACCTTTATGACTAGCTGTATAATTTAATTTCTACTTACATTTATTTGTTGTTTGTATTTTTGGTGGCAATTAATTGTAATCTTATTTACTTATTAAGCATTTATTTATTTCTGTATTTATTTTTAAATATGGCAGAGTTGGTCCTCCATAGATACTAAACTTTTTAACTGATACCGATACTAAGGAAAATGTTCGATACTCGATACCATTTTCGATACCACAAGAATCAAAACTCCAAATTTCAACAGAAATATTAAAATACAATAAATAAATACAATAAACAATAAGAACAATATTTTGAGGTTGTATGCTGTGCTAAGTATTAAGCAAGCTTGATAAAAAAACTTACAAAATTAAAATTAAGTTTTCCTTTGCTATGCTTTGCACACATAGCAATGACGCTAGCCAAACCGGTTAAGAAACAAAAATAATTCTCAGCAGCTGCACCTGTTACAGAAAGAAAGTGTGAAACTGAAAAGTGCACAAAATTATTCAATCACACAGTGTTCAGAAAGTGCATTTTCCACTATTCTGCACTTTAGATGAATGACTGTTCAGGTGCCACTGATAGTAGCACTGTATCGATACTTTTAAAAACGAGTATTATATCCGGATACAATGTTTCAGTATCGATACTTTTGACAACCCTACATCTGACATATTTTTCTTCTGATGTCTAAACTTTAATCTTACTGTAACATTGCTGTCTCACCATAAATGATTTCTTTTGCATTTGCATTTGTAAAAGCAGAAAACTCTACATGGATTACCAACCTCCCAACTTCATGAAGGTGGGCAGTACATTATATAAAGAACTGATAAAGAAAACCCCCTAATTAGCAGAAAGTGGTTGCTAATTAGGCATAGTTTTTCATTCCACGTACTTTCTAACAACAGTTTTAAAATCTATATTTGAATGAATGCATAACAGAATAGAAAACAATGTGTTTTTTATTATCCTTGGTGTTAGACATAAATTATTCAATATCTGGTGAAGACCATTTCATTTCTATTATATATATAATAGGAAGTATGATTACTTGATCACATGCGTGCTTTCTATTTAGCGATGGTTAGCAGAAGTCAGATATAAATTCAAGTATGCTGTTGCAGTGTTCAAGGCCTCACTCGGGAGTGATTTGGAGTAATTTTTGATGCCTTGCTTGTTGCCAGGCAACAGCTGTCCTGAAAAAGAGATGAATGGGTGTCCCTGGGTCTTTTTTTTTTCTCCTTCATCTTTATTTTTCTCTTACTTCCTTTTCACACATCTTGAATAAAAATTCTGATTTCATTTTTTTTTACACCATTTCTCTCTTGGCATATTCTGCTGGGATGTATATCTGAAAAGTAATGCACACGGTTATCTGTCACTTATGCAAGATTTCAGTTACTTTTTTCAAAATCTATCCAACCGTAATGGTTGTCATGAGATTTCAATTAAATAACTTGATAATTTTGAATTCCAGATACATCAAGGCTTTGGTTTTAAAGATCAAATAAAATACATCTAAATTCATGGAGAAAATGTTTTAAGGATCTTAGCTGGAAGCAGTGCTGTCTTGGTGGGAACAGGAAAACCAAGTGTGCACACCCCCCCTTTCCTAATTAAAAAGTAAATGCTTCACATTCTCCAAATAGTTGGCTAAAAAAAATAGGACTTTTTTCCAAGCAGAAGTATTGGTTTATTTGAGGTGTTCAGGAATACGATACATAACCCCTCTTGTGTCCAACGCCGTTGAAAAATGCGATCATCAGAGGCGGGCTGAACAGATGTTCGTGCAAGCATTAATTCGTGTGTGGGTTCCTTTTGTTTGTGGAAAAAAAAATCCGAAACAATAACAAGCACAATTTTGCCCTGATTGGAGAGGGAGGTTCAGTGCTTTCCTGACAAACGCCAACAGGGAAAGTAATTAAACCACTCAAGTTGTTTGCAGCTGCACGGCTGATTTCCATCACCTCCTATTTAACCCCTAACTGCATCATATTGGTGGTTTTATGCACCTGATGTCGCCAATCTGGAATTGAATTTTGAAGCTGCTTTGTTCTGGAAAGGCTTTTTTATTTCATGCTGCTTTTGTGGTGTTTCAAAACCTAAATTATTCAGCCTCTGTTCACACCAGCAACACTCTCCGTCAGGCATAGATTCTCATTATGAAATCAAGTCAGAAATCCTGCAAACCATATTTTCTCAGTGCTTCACAAATGTCTGGCTCTAAACAGGGGCTAGTGTCCCTGTACTGAAGATATAAGACTAAAAATATAAAAAGTACAAATGATGAAATAAACAGACTTAGTGGCAAATAACTCTCTTTAACCTATTTTTTTTCTTTACAGTTCTGCTTTATTTATGGTTTTAAAATCAAAGTGAGTCAGTTTTCATGAGCTAAATGTTATTTTGAACCAAATTTTTATGAAATAAAAGTACAATTTATTACAGCTGAATTTAACAGGTTTAATAGAATTATACTAAAACTGGTCATTTTTATTAAAAAAAAAAGTCATAAATACGCAATTTTTGTGAATTAGGAATGAACATTGACCCCGTATTCTGAAGAATATTTCAGTAATTTTTTTTCACATTTTAAGGGATTTCTAATTTTACATTTTCAAGGCAAAACAATTTCTATTAAACTAATTTATGTGGAAATATAACTTCATTTCACATAAAGTAAAACGAAAAAAATATTTAAGGAGAAATAAAAGTCACTAAAAGATGTAAAGTAGCTTTACAATATAAGTAAAAAACAAAAAACAAACTCCATTTTTAAAATAAATAAATGTGGATATAAATAAAAAATATCTTTAAAAATATCGATTTAGTTCTACTTCATGGTGACATTTATTTATTTCATAGACTTTAAATTAGCAATACCAGCATTTATTTTTTAAAATTGTGTATCAAACAGCTCTCCATAGACTCTAAATATTAGTATTTGTGAATTAGGAATGAACTTTGACCCCCTATTCTGAAGAATATTTCAGTAATTTTTTTCACATTCTAAGGGATTTTACATTTTCAAGGCAAAACAATTTCTATTAAACTAATTTATGTGGAAATATCACTTCATTTCACATAAAGTAAAACAAAATAAATATTTAAAGAGAAATAAAAGTCACTAAAAGATGTAAAGTAGCTTTACAATATAAGTAAAAAACAAAAAACAAACTCCATTTTGAAATAAATAAATGTGCAAATAAATTAAAACAAAAAATATCTTTAAAAATATCGATTTAGTTCTACTTCTTGGTGACATTTATTTCATAGACTTTAAATTAGCAATAGCAGCATTTATTTTTTAAAATTGTGTATGAAACAGCTCCCCATAGACTCTAAATATTAGTATTTGTGAATTAGGAATGAACTTTGACCCCCTATTCTGAAGTATATTTTAGTATTTTTTTTCACATTGTAAGGGATTTTTAATTTTACATTTTCAAGACAAAACTTTTGCACTAATTTATGTTGAAATGTCACTTCATTTCACATAAAGTAAAACTAAATAAATATTTAAGGAAAAATAAGTCACTGAAAGATGTAAAGTAGCTTTACAATATAAGTAAAAAACAAAAAACAAACTCCATTTTGAAATAAATAAATGTGCAAATAAATTAAAACAAAAAATGACTTTAAAAATATCGACTTAGTTCTACTTCTTGGTGACATTTATTTCATAGACTTTAAATTAGCAATAGCAGCATTTATTTTATAAAATTGTGTATGAAACAGCTCTCCATAGACTCTAAATATTAGTATTTGTGAATTAGGAATGAACTTTGACCCCCTATTCTGAAGAATATTTCAGTAATTTTTTTTCACATTTTAAGGGATTTTTAATTTTACATTTTCAAGGCAAAAAAAATTCTATTACACTAATTTATGTGGAAATATCACTTCATTTCACATAAAGTAAAACGAAATAAATATTTAAGGAGAAATAAAAGTCACTAAAAGATGTAAAGTAGCTTTACAATATCAGTAAAAAACAAAAAACAAACTCCATTTTTAAAATAAATAAATGTGGATATAAACCAAAATAAAAATTATCTTTAAAAATATCGATTTAGTTCTACTTCTTGGTGACATTTATTTGTAAAGATTTTAAATTTGCAATAGCAGCATTTATTTTATACAATTTTGTATAAAACAGCTCTCCATAGACTTTGAATATTATTTTAAAAGTAATTAAAGAGGAACTGGAACCAATTAAAATAAGCCTGTAGGTCAGAGATTGGCACAATCTATATGCAGACAGTCTTTTTTTCCAAATCCTAAAGTATAAGAAAAGAAGAAAAAAAAAAAAACAGAGCCTACAAATATACAACACAGGGTTTTATTAAATGTTAGAGAACATGTCAGGTGTTTATAAAAAAAAAACCTTACTGTTCTCCTTAGTGTGTGCACAGAAGCTATCATATAAAGAACAGAGATTCTACAGAGAGACGTTACTCAAAGTGTCAGTTAGATACATAAAATATATTATCTCCCCCCAATAAATGCAGATGAGAAGCAAACAGAAAAGAATGAGAACATAGCAGAGAACAACTACAGTTTTGTAGTTATGCAGCTCCAGTGAGCAATGACAGACACAATAAGAGGCTGTGATATTAATTAAACAGAGAACGACTTTTGATTTCTTTGTTAATTAAATATACATCATAAGGCAGAGACGCTTCCATATAGAGAAGTGCACTTGGCCTAAAAGCACACGCTAGCAGAATGAGATAGTCAGTGAAATAACTGAACGTCATGAGCCCTCATCATTAGTCACCGTCCTCCATTTGTATTTCATGACGTGAATCCGTAATGCATCCGGATCATTTCACGGGACTGTTTCCACAAATCTATTGTCCTGACTGCATTTTCCCCACATATCGCATATCAAAAGCAGTTCACAAGAGAATAAGCATTTTCTTTGTTGGTTGTTTTTTTTTTTTTTTTGCATTCTGAAGTGATCTTTGGTGAAAATGTAAACAACAGGAAACAGAAAAAAACGAGGCACTGAGGTCAAACAACACAGAAAAATAATTTGCCCTCATTCCTGCATCGGATTGCCACGTGGTGACGCTTAGAATGACTCATACAAAGTCGTTTAACCTTTAAAAGCAATATACTTTCAGTATAGTCACTCTATAGAAAAATAAGCCCAGGTAAAGCTTTGCAATGTGATTTACATGAGTTACCCTTCTGGTGATTAAACGATGCACGGCGATGAGGGTGATATCTGCAATAAGAGGGGAGGTTTGGGAGTTCAAACTAAGGCGAAGGCAAGACACACATGATATAAAGGATAGAGCTGGTGGATATAGGAGCTAGACGCATCTGTGTCCCCATGCTCACACACATTTAAGGCACATTTAGAAGCATACTGTGTGCTAAATCTAAACTCCCGGTAAAGTAAAAAGGAAAAATCATCTTGATGAAGGGGTTGTTCTTTCTACACATGGGAGTCATCCTCCCCTTTCAGTGCAGGACAAAAACGTCGCTCAATCCGCTGTGGCCTTATCCGTCTATCCACCTACCCGCCCGTCTGCCGGGGCGCTACTCCGACACTCTACCACTGCTCCCAGCTGAAGTCATCCCCACCTCCGAAGATGAAAAAGAAGCCAAGGATGGTGAGGAAGATGACAGCGTTTCCCGTCATCACCAGGGCACAGGCGCCCCACTCGATCTGTAAGGAAACCAGACTCGGCTGTATCACATAACATCTGAATCAGCACTGTTTGGTTTTATTCATGTATGCAGGAACAAAGGCAAAGATAACTTACTGTGGAATTCCGAGCTAAGACGATGGGGAGCCCAAAAGACGACACCACGATGCCCGTCGTTAAAAAGTAGGCCAGTTCCCTGCATGCGTTGCTGGAGGAGTCATCATCACTGAGACGTCTGGATATAAAGGTTGGGATTGGACTTAAAATGTAGAAAATCAGCACAAAAAGCGGCCAGTAAACGCTGCAAGAGATGGAAAAGAATAGATTAACTGCTTATTTTCTTCTGTGTTTAAAGATGCTTTAACAATTACAGAAGAAAACTGGTTTAAAGGTGGAGGCAGGTAACGAACCAGCTAACAATAAAAACATCTGATCTTCTAGATTGCTTATCCCATTCTAAACTAATTAAATTAAGTTAACAAAAAACATTGATGTGATTTACTTTTAAAGGAGATGATGGGCAGACATGAGAAAAACACGAGCCACTTTGAAAACAGAATTCAGTCCTGTACGGAGTGAATTTGGTTCCATTATTGTGGAAAGCAAAGAACATGTTTTGTAAAGAAAAAAAAAAGAAGCTATCCAGATATGAAAGTTGAAGAAACTAAAGAACTAAAATAAAAATCTTTTTCCATTTTTTTTTTCATATTTTCTTTTTTTCTTCTTCAAATTGATTGAAATATTTACTTTTTTACATTTCACAGGTTGCGCCCTTTTTACTCCAAGCCAAATAAAGATGCTCACTCTTGACGGGCACATTGACCAATAAAAACGGTTGTAGCTAAGTTCATGCAGACCAATAGAAATTCATCTTTGTTTCCTCACACTAGAGGAAAATCAGCCCCAGAAGTGATGAGAATGAGATCTGTAAAATGCAATTTGAAATGAATAAAATTCAGAAAACTCACTCTGAAAAAATGACATAAATAAAGTAAATATGATTTAAAAAATAAATACAAAATCATTTGGGGAAAAAATATATGTAAGAAAACAATAAAAAGAAACTCTCAAAACTTTTTTTCTTTTTATCAAGAAGATCTTCAAAGCTTCTTATTTGGATTTCCTTACTTTTTCATTTCCATTTACCAGACTTTTTTGCTTGCAACAATAATGGAACAAAATGTACTCCATACATGGGTGTAGATTAGTAGTTAACAACGTTTAGATCTGTGCTGAGCTAAAAAGTATATATTTCAATTGAATTTTTACATTTTTTTGGTTAGAAATGAACTTTTCTAACCAACTTCCACTAAAAATGATGGCAGAGAGCAGCACTGATGGGTGATAAAAAGATCCAATAGTCATCTAATTTCTTATGTTTGATTCATGGAATGGCAGCAAAAAAAAAATGAAACTACAGGCTGATCAAGCGGGATGAGCTCCAGTTGAGAAAGATTTTTTTATTTATTATAGACAATCTAAATGATAAGAAGAATTTAAGAAAGAAGAATTTAATGTTTTACTGTTAAATTTTATTAGTTAATAGAATATAATCTTAAAATGAAAAATAATACAAAGAGTATGCTTTTTGATCCATGTTTTAATAGTAAAAACAATTTAGATACTATTTGAACTAAGTTCACTTTTTATGGTTTTTGTTTTATGTGATATTCATTCCAATAACAAAAACAAAAAAGAAAAAAAAACTGCTGAACATCTGATTACAGTTTATAAAGACAGTTTTATAAATAGGCTTATTCGGCTTATTCGTTTAGCTTATTTGAGCTAAACCTTTCCCAGGTTTGAGTTAGCTAAAGGGTTAAAATGCTTAAAATGTTACTGCTGTCCCGGATCACTAAAACTGGCATCTATGTCAAATTCTTTATATTTTCTTATCAATCCAGTCAAAAAGTGTTTTAAACATTTATTCTGAAAGATTTGTCAACACACTGTCCAACCAAGTTATCTGAAAATAGAACAACACACTGTCTAAAGTCTACACAGAGATAATGTAAAGGTAAAATTTTCTTTAATATTCGATTTAAATAATAAAGCTTCTTTTGGACGCCTAGAATTGTTTTTTTAGATGTACATTACTGAGTCTAAATGCAGTAAACCTAAGCAGTCACCAGTCGCCTTTATAACAAAGCTATTCCACAGGATATATAAGTCAACATTTCTGAAAACATATGATGAAGCTTTTTGGTATAATCGCAATAACATTTTTTGCCCAAATGAAACTATTCATCATTGCCGAGCATTGACAAACTTCAGCAGCCCTTTTACCAACTACTTATTAACTTTTATCTGAGTATTATTTGACATGATTACTTTCCTCTTCAATTTAAATAAACCATGGAGAAAGTAAACCTCTGCTGTTTTGTCCTCTGTGTTTGAGATATTATAGTTCTTACAAAATGGACATCTATATGGTAACAAACTTGAACTGGATCTCTGCTCATATTCAGAGAGGATCTTGCTGCGGTGGAGATATCTGCACAGGTTGATTGTTTCTTTTTTATCCCTTTAGATTGAAATTAAGTATGTAAACAGATAACCGATTTACAATTAATTGTTGAGTATTAATTTACTAGATCGAAATATATTCCATCCAATTATATGGCAAGATCCACTTAGAAGGAACGTTTTTCAGTGGTGTAATGTTACAGCTGTCCAATACAAGTTGCAACTGTCCATACTTAAAGGTATAATGAAGGATTTTCGTGAATTTAAAAAAAAAAAAGCACAAGCACAACCCTGTACCCACTCGCGAGAGGGAACGTCTATTAAACGCATGCGAGAGCATGCAGGAGCCCATTGCTCCTCGTGCATGCTCTGTTTAAAAGTTGCTGCTTGCTTCGCTCATAAAAACTTTATTTCCAAATGAAGATTTGCAATTTTTCCACTATGACAGACTCACCACCAGTAAGTGAAAATGGCGACGAGCATGTAGGACGGCTTTATAAACATATAACCAGAATAATTGACAATTAGGAAGGCAACTTATTTTGATGATACCTGGAAAATGAACATCCTCCACTATAACTTTAAGCGGCATTGGCAAGAGAAGAAACGCCAGAGCAGAGACATGCTAAAGGAGAAACATGACTTGATCCAGAGTCTGGTCTGGGATTTTCTACACTGTTTAATGGTGACAGCGATGCAGAATGAACTTTATGTACTTTTGTCTGTAAATATAAACACTCAATTAACTCTTTAAGTTACCACCTTAATTTCACCCATTTTGCTGTGCTGCATAACAATGCAGCATCAAATTCTACGCTACGCTCAGAAGGCAAAGCAGCATGTCAGAGCTACATACCCTGTATTATAATTATAGTTTTAGATTTTTTGTACACTGCAAATCATAAGTGTGTCAAATATTTCTTTATCCATCTCTAATTTATTCAGTCACCTCATTTTTTGTTATATTTTACAAATATACATAGTTTGATAATGTGTAAAACTGCTTTTTTTTTGCTCGTTATTCAGTTAGTATTTAATTAGGGGTGTAAATAATAATCATTTTGAATTGATGCATCGATCCAACAGCCGACGATCCGATGCATCGACACGTCCGCAAAAGTATCAATTGAAGGTTTTTTTTCCTCTGATCTATTTTTATCCATTTGCTCCTGACGTAATTCTGACTCCCGTGTTGCGGTGGCGCTAAACCTATTTTGCCCTCCTACCTTTCTTCCTTTAGCCACTACCCTCTTTCCGCTTACACTCAAGTAAACACAGAGGCATTGTTATTTTTCAGTGCGTGAGGTTTTCATTGGCCTAGGTGGAGTACAACTTTGCTACTTCTGTTATCTGCTGTTGTTTCTCAAATAATATGCATAACGATATTACAGCTTTCATGGATTTATTTCAAATTTGAAACCTTGCCTAGCCTGTAACGTAAAAAACAAAACAAAAAACCCCCAACCAATTAATCGAATCGAATCGTAACGTGGTGTGTTCTTGAGTATCGAAAATAAACCGTTGGGAGAGGAAATTGATACTGAATCGAATCGCCATGATGGGTGTGATTTACTAGCCTGGGTGCCATTCCAAACTTAGTCCCGCCCACAACGTTTGAGGTCGGGAAGTTCGGTCTGGCATTACTCAATAGTAGCGCGAGTATGCTCGCACAATATCTTGCGGGCCAATCAAATTGTCAGGGCGGGCTTTATACAATGATGGACAGATGATCAACAGTAACGTAATCAACCATGTGACCAAAGCACGCTTGGGTGACAACAACAATGGCTGCCGCTGGAGAGTTGAGGTGAGTAGATTCTGCTATTAGGTCTGTTCTAGAAGATATCGACAGCAAATTAATTTTAAAAGAGGAACAGAGAAACGCGATCAAGGCTCATCTTCTTATTCTAGGCAACTGCACGCTTTGATTTTTGTTGACAACAACTATGCGTTGCTTAACATACGTCACGCACTCCGTTGCTCTTATTGGTTGTAGGTCTATCCAATTGAGTGCAGAGGCATTATTTTTTCCTGGTTCGTTCGAAACACGCCCCATAATCACAGCTCTATGGAGCAGCATCAGACTCATATTCTGACTAGAATTGAGTAGGACTACGTCAGGCTAGTGATTTACACCCCATATTTAATATAGTAAACTGTTAAAATTGTTTTTAAGAAAACAACCACTTATCAATAGTCGTTCAACTTCTGATTAACTCATTGATCATTTACATGCGTTTGCATAAAATAAACATTTCATTCACTTCCATAAATGTTTTTTTTTTAGACCCTGATATCAGTACCACAAAGGCACAGATTGGAAAAGGAAATTACTTAATAAACCCAACTTTTATTTTGATTTATGCTTTATAGTGGCCTGTATAAAAGGGCCTTTTGCCCACAGCCTTGCAAAGCATATATATAAACAATGGTGCTGTTTGATGCATGAGCATATATTTTGAAGTTAGTGCCACGTGCTTTAAAATAATTGCAATCCAGTTAGAACATCTGAACAAATAAACAATACATTATTTGGAAACAAATTTTCTTTGGGGATTGCTAATATAACACATTAAATATCCCTGAATGTCACATTTTAAATGTTGTAAAAGTTCTTGTTTTATGTGATATGATCTTAACATTTTCTAAAAGTTTTATTAGGATCCTTTAATTGAAATTGTGTTGTTGACAAACTTTAACAGCTTAGAGTAGCAACAGATTTTTGTTAATGGAGGCTAAGCTAGCAGCACCTACCCGTACTGTTCCAATGCGCAGCCCAGCAGAAGAAATGTCAGTCCTATGGCCCCGCTAAATGACAGGCCAACCAGCGCTAAAACAACATATGAAACACTTATAAACTTGATAGCAATAAATGATTAGTGACAGAAGAAATCGAAAGTACAAGAAGCAAAGCTAAATATCTTTTGCTATGAAGTTGCTACAGGCTACATAAGATTTAAGATTACAGTTAGCATAAAAAAACACAACTTTATAAATTTATATGGTTATTGTGATGCGAAAAGTCCCCCGAAACATTTCACTGTTCTCTGTCAGCGAAAGCCATCCCACAAAGCTTTCATAAAGGTTATAAACAAAGCTAACAAAAGTTTCAGAAGCAGGACGACGTCACAACAAAAACTCAACTCCCGACTAAACTTGAACATTAAACTTGGCTCTAGTTTCTCCGTATTGTACCTTTAATCCCAGCCATTTCTAAAAAATCTGGGAAAACTCCTCTTAAAATCTTTTTTCTTCCTTCTTTGGATATTATTTATGATCCGAGGCTTCTTTTTCTCTCAGACTAACTTCCTGCTTCCTCCATCAGGTTTCCCTTCGGTGACGTCAAACGTCTGTCTTAAAGCGACAGTGCCTCGTTAAAAGCTGGGTAGAAAAAAATAAACAAAAACATTCTCAAATAGGAATAGCACTTCTTTTATATTTACTTACTTTAGTAAAAGCAAAAATTTGTCATCCAAGTAAAAAATTTATTTGGTAAAAAGATTATATACTCAACTACTGAGTTGTAGTTGGGTTATATGAGCTGATTTAGAAATAATAAATCAGTTCCTTATGTTCATATTCTGGTTTTTTACAGGCTAAGATAAAAATGAAATAAAATTAACAGCATTTTTACAAAATAACAATTTAAGGCAGAAGAAAATTCTTTAACATCTTCAAATTCTTTAACATAATCATTATGAAAGAAAATCCCTACAGCAATGTATAAATGTTAGAAAAGAGTAAATAACCTTCCCTCACATTATATACTAGTAACTTTATATAAATTTGATCTACAAAAAGCTCAAGTTACTTGTGGTGGCAAAAGCAGCTATAAATTTAACTAAAGAGTAATGATACGTTATAGGAATACCATTGAGGTAAAGAGGTGGTGGATCTAGAAAATGTGGAGGCACACAATTTTTAAGCAAAGTGGCTTCATCAAAGTACACAAGAAATGTCTTAAATGTAAATTAAATCAACAAAAAAAATTCAACAATAGAAAAGAAAACACTTTATATCATTTGAGAAAAAAAAATTCTTTCACGCGTTAGGAGAGCTTAAGGCAATAGTTGTTGTTTCATCTGGAGAACCAAATCTTTTCTGTACTGGAATGTAAACAAAGAAGAAATACATACCAGTTGGTGAAGTTGGATTGGTTGGAGATCTTGACTTTGTGGCTTCCTGCTCTTGTTAATCAATTTCCTCTGCATTACCTTCTTTCTCTCTCTAAGACTCATAAACATTTTCCTATTCAGCACTTATTCTAACATCTCTTTCTTTATTTCTTAATTTTTGGACTTTCAATGGCCTCCTTCTCCTGTCACCCTCCTGGTCTTTCCATCATTCTTCTAATCTTACAGGCTTTTCTTCTTTCTCATCCCTCACTTTTTGTATTGCCAATGAAACCAGATGCAAAACCAGTTTAAAATTATATATATATATATTTTTTATCATTATCAATGTGTTAGTATCAAGGTTTGGAATAACTATCCAACAAACAATATTCCAGCAATTAATCAATAGAAATATGAAGACAGAAATTATTTATCCCATTCACACAGGTTACACAAGCACTTCTTTCCAGAGATCTTATTTAATACTACAGTATTAAGTATATATTTT